TTCTAGAGAGTAGTTCAGAGTGAGTTGGGCACAGGGGTCGAGTTGAGCACAACATTTCATTCTCAGACGGACGGGCAGTCCGAGCGTACTATTCATATTTTGGAAGATATGCTCCGAGTTTGTGTCATTGAATTTGGAGGCTCGTGGGATCAGTTTTTGCCTTTAATAGAGTTTGTCTACAACAATAGTTACCAGTAGAGCATTCAGATGGCTTCTTATGAAGATTTATATGGTAGGCGGTGCTGGTCGCCGGTTGGATGGTTTGAGCCAGGAGAGGCTCAGTTGTTGGGTACAGATTTGGTACAAGATGCCTTGGACAAGGTCAGGATCATTCAGGATAGACTTCGTACAGCTCAGTCCATGCAAAAGAGTTATGCCGACCGTAAGGTTCGTGATGTGGCATTCATGGTTGGCGAGCAAGTGTTGCTTCGGGTGTCGCCTATGAAGGGCGTGATGAGATTTGGAAAGAAGGGCAAGCTTAGCCCTAGATTCATTGGCCTGTTTGAGATTCTTGATCGAGTGGGAGAGGTGGCTTACAAACTTGCGTTGTCGCCGAGTTTATCAGCCGTGCATCCAGTGTTTCATGTGTCAATGCTTCGGAAGTATCACAACAATCCATCCCACGTGTTAGACTTCAGCACTGTCAAATTGGACAAGGACTTGTCATATAAGGAAGAGTCTGTAGCTATTCTAGATCGGCAGGTTCGTCAATTGAGATCGAAGAGTTTCCCTTCTGTTTGTGTTCAGTAGAGAGGTCAGCCTGCTGAGGCATCGACCTGGGAGTCCGAGTTCGATATACGGAGCCATTATCCCCATCTTTTCTCCGACTCAGGTACTTCCTTCTTATGTCCGTTCAAGGATGAACGGTTGTTTTAGAGGTGGAGAATGTGATGACCTTTTATCACTTGTTTTAGAAATAAATTATGTGTTTCGAAGCCATAGAACCTCCTTTTTGTCTCACATCAATTTGCATGCGCAGTCCGAGCGTGTATCCGGAAAGTCATTATGTGAAAATCGCTGAAAAATGATGAATTTTGCTTTTAAAATGAATTTAGGTTGATTTCGGTCAATATTTTGGGTAAACGGACCCGGACCCGTGATTTGACGGTCCCGGAGGGTCCGTAGGAAAATATGGAACTTGGGCGTATGCCCGAAATCGAATTTCGAGGTCCCAATCCCGAGAAATGAATTTTTAAAGAAAAATTGTTTTCCGGAATATATGTGAGTTTTTGGAAATTTGAATGTTTTTTAAATTGATGGTATCGGGCCCGTATCTTGGATCTGGATCCCGGTATAGGTCTTATATGTCGTTTAGATTGAGCCTACAAAATTTGGTAAGAAACGGACTTGGAATGACGTGAATTGGACCCTCGGTTGTAAAATTTGAAACTTAAGTGTTCTTGAAATTTTTCTTTGATTTTGATGCTAAGTTCGTTGATAAAGCTGTTAATTTGGCAATTTGATCGCACGAGTAAGTCCATATGATATTTTTGAGTTAGTATGCATGTTTGGTTTGAAGCCCCGAGGGCTCGAGTGAGTTTCAGATAGGTTTCGAAAGGTTTTTAAACTTAGAAAAGTTGCAGGTTTTCAGTTTCTGGTGCATAGAGATTTTGTTCTCCGCGTTCGTGTGGCTTCACTCGCGAATGTGGAAAGAAATATTCCTCAGGTGCAAAATTATTCTTCGCGAACGCGGAGCTTGGGACGCGAACGAGAGGCTGTGGGAGGAGTACCCTTCGCGAACGCATCCAGGCCTCGCGAACGCGTAGGGTTAGTGGCCTGGGGGAGGGATTTCAAATTTACGCTATGCGAACGCGGCCACCTGACCGCGAACGCGAAGGCTCGAGGAGCTGAAACTCCGCGAACGCGAGCCCTTGAACGCGAACGCGATGGCCATCTGGGCCTGACCCATCGCGAATGCGATGAAAGCCTGTCAGTTATTTTAAAACAGAACCAGAATCGGACATAACCTATTTTACTCCATATTTTCGAACTCCCAAGACCTAGAGGCGATTTTCTTCCCACAAATTCATCCCCAAAGTGTTGGTAATCAATTCTAAACTTTACTCTTTCATTACCCAATGTTTTTCATCACTTTCTAATCAAAAAGTCAAGAGTTTTCATGGTAGGAATTAGGAATTTGGGTAGAGTTAGGGCTTTTTGAATAATTGGAATTTAGACCTCGCTTTGGGGGTCGGATTTCGAAATAATTGCATATTCGGGCTCGTGGGTGAATGTGTGATTGGGTTTTGGTCCGAACCTCGAGTTTTGACCAAGCGGGCCCAGGGTTAATTTTTTGTCTTTTTGGAAAAAATGATAGAAAACCTATAATTAAGGATTGGGTATGAATTCTTTAGCATTTATTGATGTTGTTAAATTAATTTGGACTATATACAAGTAATTTGGAGGCAAATTCTAAAGGAAAAGCGGTGTTTGAGTCTTGAGTTGGCCATGAAAGTTTTAGGTAAATGTTTGGTCTAACCTTAGCTTGAGGGATTAGGATTTGTGTTTTATTTGCTATGTATTAATTGTGGAGTACGACGTATAGGCATGGTGACGAGTATCTATACGTCGGTGTCAAGCATGCCCGTGAGTCATGTATTGTAATTGTTGTGACTCTATTGTGGTTTATTCGTGTTTCATATGAGGATTATCATTATTGTTCCCTTGCCGGGATATTGTTGTAATATTATTGTTCCCTTGCCGGGATGTTGTTGTCATATCATTGTTCCCTTGCCGGGATGTTGTTGTCATATCATTGTTCCCTTGCCGGGATGTTGTTGTCATATCATTGTTCCCTTGCCGGGATGTTGTTGTCATATCATTGTTCCCTTGCCGGGATGTTGTTGTCATATCATTGTTCCCTTGCCGGAATTCTTTTATGATTGGTGTTGATAAATGAAAAGGGAGCGGGTTGCACGCCTGCAACGGTACTATATGAAATGGGAGCGGGTTGCACGCCTGCAAGGATTATATGAAATGGGATTGGGTTGTACGCCTGCAACAGTATTACATGTGTACTTGTTTCTTATTTCCTTATCTTTTGCTGGTAATTGATTTATGGTGTTCCTTACATTTCTCTACTGTTATTCTGTTGTTATCTGTTACTCCCCGCAACATGTTTCCCCCGCCCAACTTTAGCTGTAATTATCTGCTTTTATTTCCGCTGTATATGATTTAACTGCACAGGATTATTTGGTAGTCTGGTCCTAACCTTGTCACTACTTTGTCGAGGTTAGGCTAGACACTTACCAGCACATGAGATCGGTTGTGCTGATACTACACTCTGCACTGTGTGCAGATACTGATACCGGAGCATTTGGACCGTAGTGAGGAGGCTGTCTTCAGTCCATTCAGGTGACCCGAGGTAGTCCTGCAGACGTCCGCGGGCCTTGGCATCTCCACTTATCACTTCTCTTTCTGTTTTTACTTATTCAGAGACAGATTGTGTATTTTCATTCAGACCTTATTTGCAGTACTCTTAGATAGTCCGTGACTTGTGACACTAAATTCTGGATAGTATTGTACTTCAGATTATGTAGCAGTGTTTGGTTGATCTATTAAGTTTTCGTCTTCCGCATTTTTGGTTATTTAATTTATTCCGCTGTTTAATCACTTATTACTTTGAATTCTGAACATGCTTAATAAAAAAGGTAATGAATTTATAACACTCGCTTTGCCTAGCTTTCACGAGTAGGCGCTATCACGATTCCCGAGGGTGAAAAATCCGGATCGTGACAAGTTACCACCACCAAAACTTATAACTTAATACTAGTATTAGGAAGATTGGATTCTTATTACCTCCTCGTGATTCCAAGGTGAGGGGAAAAAATTAAAAAGAAAAGAGAAAAAAACAGTTCGTTAACTAATCAAAGCAATTACTAGTACTAGGTACCATATTTGGTCAATAGGACCATCCCCATGGAATATCAAAGATTCGTTTATCGATAATCAACTGCTTTGACTAAAACACTGTTGGACTTTAAGCCATTGGGCTTTAAAAGAGAAGAAGTGTGAATTGGAAATGGAGGGAAATAAAATGGAGGGAAAATGAAAATTTGAAGAAGTGAACTTTTGTCTTGCACTTTGTCCCTCATTGGTGAGGGACAATCACATTTATGTGCTTATATATAGATTCACTTCTTAAAGCTCTTAAAAGGAGTTGAAGAGAATGAACCCTCGCGCCGTCATCGTCGCTCATTTGGATTTGGATTTGGATTGCCAAATCACTGCTGAACGTTCAGAGGGCCTCACTGGCCGCGGTTCTGCCGCGGCGGTAGAATCGCGGCAGTCAGATTCAGAGAAGCTCTCTGGCCGCGGTGACACCTCTTCTGATATTTGCCTATAAATTCTGAAGCAAGGTTGCATCTTCAAAATACGAAAAAGACTCTAGAACTTCTTTCTTTCTGAATATACTGCATCCTAATTCGTAGTCTCTCTCTCTCAAATTCGTAAGTGTGATTTTGCTCCGTTCTTTGAGTTCGTTGGTATCCTGCAGTTTGTATTGCCACTGTTGCAGGAAGGTTTATTCCGTTTTATCCTGGGAGGATTTAATCCATTACCTTGGCAACGTGTGAGGGAGTTAAAATTCCTTAAGGACGCACAAGAAAATTGTGGATTCGGAATATTTCTGATTCTTTACTATTTTATATATTTCTTTATTTTTCTAACAGTTTCCTGAATTTTGTTTTAACTCAGTCACGTTCACAAACACGTCATATTTTTGACACCATAATTACAAAGAAACCCATAAGAAAAACAAAACAAAAAACCATAACGTGCTTTGTTATGTTATTGGTTTACAGAGAACTCAGTTCCCCTAATGAATAATGTCATTGGACACGAGAAATGAAAAAAGTCATGAAAATCGACTGCACTGACTCTCCTCTCCACTAGCTGACATTAGCAATTTGCAGATTTCAAGAGGATTTGCATAATGGGAAATTTCATATTAAATGCAATTAAAGGAAACTTAGAGATTACTCCAATATAAAATTGTGAGTAAACAGTAGTAGTATTATTATTATTATTATGGAATAAGGTTTCATCAGAAAGTATGATTTTTCTACTGACCTAAGAACTTTATCAGGTAGGTACTCATCTCTCTACTTTTAGCAAGCTTGTTATTTTTTTCCCCTTTGTTGAACATTAATTAATCTTGATGACCCAAATAAGAAAGATTGGATTTTGATTTCTCCAGTCTATTTTTTGTTGTTATTTTTCGTTTTGCTTCTTGGGGTCTTGATTTGGGGTGTATTTTCCAGATAATAAAGGTAAACAATTCTTGTTTCCTCAGCTGACACAGTTTTGTTTATATGTGCCTTTTCTTTTGGAATTTCAGCTTCTTTTGTTCTGTTTTATCTTTCATATTTGCAGGTAAAATAGGAGCATTTGTTTCCTATGCAGTGTATGAGCAGAAATTTGCGGTGAAAAAGGAACAAACTTTAAGGGTTTGAATAGCTGAATTTACCAATTTTTTGTTCTCGGAGTTTTAGTTGGACGCATGGTGTGGGTTTATGGGAGTAGTTGATGTTAGATTTGATGAAATAAGCAGAAATTACCTGGAAATGTCTGAAAGTTCTTGAAAAAGATACTGGTTTTGTGGATAAGTTACTGTATATAACAAAATGTCTCTGATTCCTGATAAAAGCATGTTACCTTCAAGGTCTCTGTCCTGTCTAATAGCCATTTCTGTTTTCCTTTTGATAATTTCTTCACTTTCCCTTCTTCAATTTGCTGATAATTCTTTCATACCCAAATCAGTTTTTAGTTTAGTTCTTGTTAATAGTTCTTCCGTTTACTTGACTTCAAGTGGAGAATCCAAAGCTCCTTTCTTGCCTATTGAAACTTCACATGAACAAACCCTGAAAAGCCAAGAATTAGCTTGTCAAACTTCCAGTTTCAGCAATGATTCTGTTGGATTCGGAGTTGGGAAAACTTGTGGCCCGAAAGAAGCTCTTCTTAAAGTGTATATGTATGACTTACCTCCTGAATTTCACTTTGGGCTATTAGGTTGGAAAGGAAGTAGGGACGACGAAACATGGCCTAGTGTTAGTAACCCGAGCCAAATACCCTCGTACCCTGGTGGCCTAAATTTACAGCACAGCATTGAGTATTGGCTTACTCTTGATCTTCTATCCTCAAACAACCCAAATATCAATAGACCATGCACTGCTGTTAGAGTGCTGAATTCTGGTGAAGCGGATGTGATCTTTGTGCCATTTTTTTCGTCTTTGAGTTACAATAGGCATTCTAAGGTTCAAGGGAAGGAAAAAATCAGTCTCAATAGAATGCTGCAGGATAAAGTGGTGGATTTTTTAAAAAGTAGAGATGAGTGGAAGCGAAGGGGTGGAAAGGATCATGTAATTGTTGCTCACCACCCCAATAGTATGTTGGATGCAAGAGAGAAGCTTGGTTCTGCCATGTTTGTACTTGCAGATTTTGGAAGGTATAGAGCCGAAATAGCAAATATTGGAAAGGATGTGATTGCTCCTTACAAACATATGGTCCAGACAATAGGTGCTGACAACTCACCCTCTTTCAGACAACGCGATACATTAGTTTACTTTCAAGGGGCAATCTATCGAAAAGATGTGAGTTCCATATCTGCTTTTATATGCAACTGATGATTTAAATATTTGTTAATGATTTTGCTATTTTCCATGTCATAAAAGTTATGCTTTAATCTAATTACCTATAAGATAGCATGCATTACTTTGTGAGGCCCCATATATTTTTGGTGGCAGTGACACTTGAAAACTAGAGCCAGATAAAGCTTTCTTCTGTCTTGTTACCAAAAGTAATATTTGAATGAAATGGGTCCAAATGGATCAAAATGGATAGTGAGTATTGTAGCCGAACTCTACTTCCTTGGAATTGAGATATAGTTTTTTGTTATCAAAAGTAGTTTCAGCAGCGTGAAAGAATGGTATGTAGCCACAGCTTTTTGTTTTCGGACAAAGTAACATTGCTGTTTTGTACTTTATCATGCTTTATTCCCTTACTGGTTAATTGATTTGGGTTTTTACTTTGAACACCTATCGCATGTGCAGTTATATTCTCTGACCTACCACCTCAATATATTGGTTTTGCTCTTAACTGTAAGATTGGAATATAGTTCATACCGCGTTTGAAACAGAAGCGAAACTAAAGTCCCTCTATCTTTTGCTTGAAGTATGATATATCTAGTAGATTTTGTTGGGCTAAAACGGCCCAAAGATACTCTTAACATGGTGCGATATTGTCCGATTTGGGCCAAGCCCGCACGGTTTTCCCCAAAAAGGCCTCACACCATTAAGAGTATCCAACTCCTTATAAGTAGCTTATTTTTCTTTTCTACTTTCCATGTGGGACTTAGTTCACATACACCCAACAGATTTCTGATACCCTGTTCAGCATTCCAGAGTAGTTAATGTGTAGGAGTCACAAGGAAAAAATAGATCTTATTACCTTCTAAGATTTTCAAAGGGAAATGCAATAGAGGAATGGCCTGTCGAATGCTGAGAATGTAATAACACGAGCTCCGCCCAAAAGAGAAAAAAACAGGGAAGCTAACAAACAGTAGATGATTAGGATGTTTTGATGGCCCCTTATGTAGGCTGTGGATTGCCAATGACATTTACGGCAGTAACATAACTGAAATTTTCCTGTTTATGTCATTTGAAGCTCGAAAGGAGAATATTGATTGTTATGAGGTCAACTTGAACTCTTTGAAGTGATAGATCTTTTTTCTTGCTTATCTAATACCAGGGTGGAGAGATTCGTCAAAATTTATACAACCTTCTCAAAGATGAAAAAGATGTACACTTCACATTTGGAAGCATTCAAGCAAATGGTGTCAGGGAGGCTGGAAGAGGAATGGCATCGTCCAAATTCTGCCTGAATATTGCTGGAGACACTCCCTCTTCAAATCGTCTCTTTGATGCCATTGCTAGCCACTGTATTCCGGTTATAATTAGTGATGAGATTGAGCTACCATTTGAAGATGTTCTCGATTACTCAGAGTTCTGTGTGTTTGTAAATTCATCTGATGCTGTAAAGAAGGGTTACCTTCTGTACCTTCTTAGAGGAATGAAGGAAGATCAGTGGACCAAAATGTGGGAAAGGATAAAGGTGCTCGGCAAACATTTTGGATATCAATATCCATCCCAAACTGATGATGCAGTGGATATGATTTGGCAGGCAGTTTCAAGAAAGGTGTCGTCTATGCGACTGAAGGATCATCGCGACAAAAGATATCACAGGTCACAGCTTTTCCTCAAAGACCAGATGTCATGATTATTTATGTGAAATTTCTGAACATCATCCTGGAGTTTTTTAGGAGACCAGCTGTCAGGTCGAGCTTGATTCTCTACTTTGTGGTATGAGAATATATCTGTGTTTTCTTTTGTTGCCAATTTTCTTAACTTCTTGTAAATTCTTTTTTTATAATGACTGCTAATTTTGTACCACTCTCCTGCTAGATAACTATGCTTCTATTTAACCACCAGCATTACCCACTGAACATAACTGGAATATGATTCTCTAACTAGCATGTATAATAAACGAAAACCAGTAAGAGGAAGTCCTGACGAAAAAGCACACTGCAATAGAGGTAGAGAATTGCCGGCAACAGCAACATCCAGACTATTCAATTTCATTATACATGAAGAAGTACTGATGCTTAAAAATAACATGATATCTATGTGCTCAGAAAATATGAAACATTTTTGTGTATAACAATGAGCATAAAATCCTAATGTCTTTCTGTGGTTCTAGCTTTACATATCACATGAAGCTGCTGTGCTTTCAAGTAAAGACTTCTACCCAAACAAATGATAGTCATCAGTGTCACAAACCTTAAAAAAAAAGAACTTCCGAGGATGCAGAATTGCCCACCAATCTCAAGTTTCTCTTAGAAAAATTACAAAAGACGGCAAGCTGTTCCTGTCCTTATGAATCTTGCTTTGGACACACTGTCAACATTTATTATGGATGGGATCTGATCCTCTTCTCACTCTTCTTTTGTTTGATTGATTTGGATCAAAGGTCATCGAAGGTGCAGGCGCTATATTCAGCTGCGTATGTAGGTCCTGCATTTCAGCATCCTTAAGTATCCGAGAATTTCTCAGGAAAAATAACTTGCCTCCTCCCCATCTGAGAGCAAGATCTATACTTCTCAGAGCAGAAACTTCCTCTGGTTGAATTGACAAGAACCCAATACAAAGAATTAGGACAATCACCCTACAGGAAGGACACAACATTTTTCTGCACTTTGGGGGGCAACAGAAGGAACAAAAGTGTTTTCTAGGCTGAGGTTATGATGAGAAAATAAGAGGTTTGTCTGTGGCTACACTCAGCATATCCTGCACAGAGTGCCTGTACATATAAACTTGTGTTTCATCTTTTATGGGATTTGCAAGACTAAAGGTACATAAAGCAGTGAGGGTCCCAAGACAAAACATATAGAGAAGTTTAAGATTCACTTCAATCATAAGCCTGTGATGCTGCAAGCAATATAAGGCTGTTTTAGAAGACACTGACAGGTTTGAATAAAAGTGAAGTTGGAACACCCATTCTTTAGAAGCCAAGAATCTATACATTTGTTCCCTACATCCCTTTCATGCTTTGCCCTTTTGGACCAAACAATGACCAAATCCAGTCTTTTGGACTTTATGCCAACTCATCTGCCAACTCATCTAATTATAGTTACTACTACCTGTTCTTGAACCTCTAAGCATTTTAATTTTAAAGTTTTACTAACAGCTTGAGAAAGCCTAGTTTTCTATTGCATTTGACAGTTTTAACAAAATTTTTTATGACAATAGTGGTGTTCTGGCTAGCTCGTGTGTCGCTTGAGTATTATACTAGATATCTACAATCTCCGATCAGCACATATATCGAGTAACTCTATCCATCAATATTTGAGCAAATGAGGTGGTAATGTTATAATTAAAGAGGGTTTAGGATTTCCTCTTATAGGATTTTAATGTAATATAGAAAGAGATGTCCCTACTACCAGAAGTTAATTACTGAGGAGGCCAAAGCTGAGATTGCAACAGTTGCAAGAAAGCCAGATAAAGCAGATTGTTGGGCAATGTGAAGAATAGAAGCCTCTTCAAAAAATATAAATCCCAGGACTTACTTTATGCCAAATTCTACTTTAGATTTTAGAATTCAATCTAAAAACAAAAATGACAGTCTTGGTTCCTTGTGCTTAATGAGTTTCTCTTTATGCTTTTCTTTGCTCTATCTTTATTTTAGATTGTGCAATTTCCCTCCATTCAAATATTCTTAGGACCTCCTCTCTCCTACCCATTCTTGGCCTTGTCAAGCATATTGTTCTTTTCCATCTTTATTTTTTCTTGCTTACCCATGTGGACCATCTCTTTCCTTCACTTTTCCTTTTTTCCTTTTTCTTATTCGCAAATTCTGAATTTGTTCTTCTTTCATGTTGCCCGTTGTTATGCATTATCTCAATCCCATGAAAGAATTTGTTCCTCGCATATTTAATAAGGTTCTCTCAATTAATGAATATGGGATGCTTACTTCAAACCAATTGTGAAGTCCTACTTCAGAAAAAATAGGCCAAGTATTTCATGATTTCGATCAAGAGCTTCACGTTTGGAATATCTTAAAAGTATGACAAAGAGCGTCCCTCTAATACTTATTTTAAATATTTAAACAATTAGGAAATACTAGTAAATATCAAAGTTAGAGTTCTGCTTTAGTTTCATTTAAGCAATTACAAAAACAATATGTATGTATTGATGAATATGCATATAACTTCCTTCCTCTTTTATTTGGCACAATTAGTCATGAGTATGGAATTTAAGATGTTTAACCTGTCTAATTAAGCATATCATCTCTATCCAGCTCAAATCATTACTACCAGTAAGGTGCCTAAATATAATACAGTAGAAAAAATCGCAAGTAAAAAAGCAACGGTAAATACTAATTAAGCGGGAGGAAGAGTAAACCATAATGGTAATATATAAACAATGTACACGATGTGAAGATATGGTATCTCCACATTGAAAGCAGCTAAGTTGGCTGCTATATTTTTTACACGTTCAAACATTAATGAAAAATTGAACAAATGGAAATAGTTTCAGCCTCTGCACTCCAAATTTGGCAATGCAAAGATACAGCTAATAAATCGAAAAAGCAAAAAGGGAAAAGATACTCCTCTACCCTTCTACTCATCCCCGTCTTGTGCAACTTACCAACAGTAAAATGCCCCTATCGGCAACTATTTTATAACAAGCAAACTGAGCAAAGCCATTTATACTAGCTCTGGAGGAGGGGGTGTCGCCTGGGCGGTTGGTGTTGCAACATGAGTTGTTGGGTGTGCTGGTGTTGCTGAAGGTTCAGCTGCCTGTGCAGGTCCTGGTGCTATTGTTACATGCAAGCCCCTATGTTGCCCTGCCTGCAGCATGAAAGCAACTTCTGCTGCTGCTAGTGCTGTTGCCTCCTGCTTTGAAGAAAAGATATAAGAATAAGTATCCGTTAAACAAACAAAAAAAAAAAGAATTAGTAAACTACACATGTGATATAATTACATCACAAATACTGGTGCTGCTTCGTTTACAGATTGCCTTAAAATGTTGTCCGGCTACCTTAAATGGAAAGTTGTAATAAGTTTTAAATATTACTCCTACAAGAAGTTCATGGGACTCATTAAAAAAAAAAATCATAGGACTTATTTTTGCTATCTTCATTACTTCTTCCATTCAATTTTGGCCCAAACAACTCAGCTTTTCAACTTTAACTTACTACCAATGCAAAATAAAAAATGTACTACTGAATCAGAACGAAGGAGTAATGAGTAAAAGTACTATGCAAAATCTCCTAACGCATATTATTCTGCATTTAATAATCCAGGCCAGGAATAACAAAATGGGCGGGTAGAATAGAACACTTTGTGTTTCTCAGTCGCGAGGCATTTTTGGGGCCAAGACTATAATCCAATAATATAATACCCCCTCGTCTCATATTGGTAGATCATGTTCAGTTTACAATGGTTGACTTAATTCATTTTCAATCTAACATTACACATTATACTTGTCTCTGAAACTTGAAGTAATAGCATGCAAACTACATTTAAAGATCTACTAATCACTGTTGGATTTTTTTCCTTTTGTTAAATAAAACTAATCAATGAATTTATTAACTCTGAAAAATCATTAAAAATAACTGAACATTAAGTTGTAAGAATAATGTTATTTACCCGTGAGTAGAAAGGGGGTCAACAAAGAGGTGGGGTGGGGGACAGCAGTAGTAACAATTATTTGAACCTACCAAACAACAGAATAAATTACTGGTGAAAAACGGACTCTAAAATCTGAACATTATATAGTCAATTTTGATGTATAAAGAAACAACTTTCACTCCATCACAAAATGAATGAGGGAGTTTGAAGCAGGAGGACCAAAGAATATAGCATTCTGAATGGTCCGCAAAAAATTTCCATACTTAGAAACAAAAAGTAATGTAGATCGCAATATATAGAAAATAACAAATATTTATGATGTTTGAAAAATTGTAGTTAGAGAAAACACTGCTTGATTTCCCAAATAGTACAAATTTCGTATAAAATGCAGAAAAGAAGCTCACTTGCTGTTTCTCAAAGTTAACTTTATATGTGCACGCTAGCTGCACGCACATAACTTCCATAGTTAGAGCAAGCAGAGACACTTTCAAAAAGCTTGACATGCCATTAAATATTCTATTTTAATATTCTACTTAGCTCAGATGATAAGACGAAATAAGTTCCAAGATTTTATCTAACTCAAATTTACTTAACTGTGTACAAAGTGCTGACATCTATCAGCAGAACCTACAAACTCAGAACTGGAAGTAACAGTGGCACCATCGCATTTCGCACTGGACATATAACCAATTATATATTGCAACTTACACCACAATCAACATTAAAGCAAAAAGTGGGAAGCAAAAAGTATAAATCAGGAAAATGGAGGTATGGCCATAAAATAAACTTGGATTTGTTTGGAAGTTGGAAAGTGTAACAGTGAGTACAAATTTATTGAGGAAAGCACCAAAGAACAAATGAGGTATTTGATTCATGCAAGAGACATTCTTCAGTGAGCCAGATGTTTTAGCATGGAGTCTTAGAACAAATATCCTTGCATGAGGTACTTCAGTCATGGAAGAGTGAACATGACATCCCTTCCATTTTTTAGCGAGAGCACCCAGCAGGCGCACGTTGAAGCTAGCGGGTTCGACTGAATCCGCTTCGCGGAAATATATACTGTTTATGTATATATATTATATTGGAAAAAGATAATTTTCTGTTATAATGTTGCAAATGAACCCACTTGACAAACACAAAGGTTGTGGAGCGATGGTCGAGCGGGTTCAACAAGTTCAAGAAGTTCCGACCTCGAATCTGCGCTGGCTCGGTTGTCCTCCTTATTTTTACAAAGTTATCCTGAGACTGTCTTCTTCTTTATCAACAATTCCCTTACAGGGTGGGAGATAGGGTGGGAGATAGGGTGGGAGATGGAAGTAGAATCCGCTTTTGGAATCATAGGTGGAATTTTATTAGTTTTTGGAACTGCAACATAAACAAAACTAACATGTTGTAGTTCTTTTTACTTTTTGGTTACTTTATTAGTTTATTACTCCCATGTATAGAATTTGGTTTTTTTATTTTTTTAAGTATGTTAGAGTTTAACAAATTTAAAAAATTTAAGAGTATATATTTGAAAGTAAAATTTATCAAAAAGTAATTGTTTTGTTAAAATTTAAATTTGATAATTTATAATTCTCTTTTCTTAAACGATGACATCAACATTGATATACCGTTGTCCAAGTGCTTAAAAAAGAGGGGAAAAGGCTTTAAAATGATGCAGGATGTTGACTTTACTATGGTTGTACCATGGCTTTACAATAGTTTTTGACTCCGCTTATGAGAAATCCCGGGTCCGCCACTGGCACCCAGTATTGACGTATTAAACTAGGAGTGGAGGTCTTAAATGTTTCTGAAAAGGTCCACTTAGTTCCCATAAACTAGAGCAAAGATCCAAGTAACTCAGCCAAAATTTATTACATACATGTGCACGGAAGCGTTAGTCAACCATAACAAAAGCTAAACAAGAATTTATCTGATCTGCACCACAGGAATTTTCCATTTTACAAAAATGTAACGAATCATCATATTAGCAAGAATGAAGATTGACATGTTAATAGTTATTTATAGATAACGAGAAACAAAAGAAATCTCTAAGGCTCTAACCTGTCTTTGCCTTCGACGCTGCATGATACTGATAGCCCAAGCCATGATGTAGCAAGGTAGAAGAAAACCAGCAGCACGGAGCAAAAAAAGCTGTATAAAAAATCGACCAGATCAGTAATCCCGCACGATCTAATGTGTCATAAACTCATTATAGCAAGCAACAAATAGAAAGATGAATTCACTGTATGATTCACTCACAGAGAAAAAGGTGGAGACATCGTCATCATCTCCATCATCATTTCCGATGGTCACAGCATGCCTCAATAATAGAAGGGCCATTAACTGCATGGGAAGAGTGTGCAATATTCTTTGAGTATCTAGAAACCGAGATAAGCTCAAAATATAATATAGACAGATTGCATGGGTAAAACAAAAGAAAAATATTGGAAGCAAATTTTTTGTTATCAACGCGTCTTAAAGATTTCTCCCTAGTTTCTCTATTTTTAGTACTGGGGAGAACTTTTACATATCTAGACAATAAAGTGACGGTCATTTCTGATCAATTCAACCAGCGGAAAGTACAAAAGGGTAATACAATGAAGGAAGTGAATATAAGAAGATAAGAGAAAGCAAAGGCATGAAATGTAGCATGAGGCCCTGAACAGGCCTCTTTCTCTTACCAGGTGCTGCAGTTTCAAGAACTTGCAGGAAAATCACTGTAACATGAGCATTAAAATATAAACAAGATAGGGCGGAATGAGTTTTTTTTTNGGCGGAATGAGTTTTTTTTTTTTTTTTGGGGGGGGGTGATGGCAAGGGTGAGTTGACAGTATTTTCCATTTTGAGCATTCCCTAAATATGCCTCCTATAAAAGGAAAATTTTCTTTTTCCTCATTTTCAAGAAGGGGTGAAGGGTCAGAAATCAAAGGAAGTTGTGGCCCATAAATTGTATTACCGCTTCTCTTCTCAAGTCAGCATTAGGTCACCACTTACAAATGAAAATTCATGTATTAAATGGTCAATGTAATACCCCACCTCCACCTCAAAAAAGAATTCTGAATCTGCTGTCTTTTTTTTTTTTTTTTGATGAATAAGAATTCTGTATCTGCTGATGTGCATTAGCTTCTACATGAAAAATAATAATGTATATTCCACATCTCCACTAGCCAGCACTTAGCAAACATGATTTTAACAGTTGCTTACAATTAGAGCAGCAGAACGACAAAATGCAGCTCCACTAGCACTTGAATCAGCGTACTCGTCATAGTCAGCCTCCAAGAGATGGCGGTCTGCAGCTGCCATCGCAAGAAGCCGTGGATCATGCAAGTCAAGCTGAGTACCAGCCACTGTCCAGCCCTCACTGCAAGGCAAAACCACGTGGACGAATCCATCAGCGACAAAGAAGACAGAAAAGAAAATTTTCAAGATTAAGATTGCAAGGAGACATGCTGATCATGTTGGATGCCCTCACTGAAGAGGTTAACAGCTACTGGCACTAAAGAAAACGTTCCATCAGATTTTCACCCAAATTTTTAGTAACAAGGGCCTTTAAATAATGGTGGAAAACTGGCTGCCCAAAAATATAATAAGCTTAACATGTTTTAAATACATCCAAAATAGGGGTAAATGTCTTTATGGCCAGTTCAGATTGTCATAAACTGTTTTTGTTGGGCTATGGAAAATAATCTTCATGTCAATGATGCTGAATTACTTTAACTAGAAACATATACTTGGAAGAAAAAAAAAGCCACAAACATATAAAATTACACGATATCAAAGAGCAAAAAAGTACCAGGAATTGGAATCATCACTAGATACGAAAGACATGTGGTAATGCAGAGTTCATGGTCATACAACATAGATAAGGATTTCACTTTTTGTGATTACTGCATACCATTATTTTTTTAAAGCTGAAATGCATAAAATACAGTTGTGCTTGTTAATGACTTCTGAATTGAACAGTACATTGTCCTACTTTTGCATTCAAGAAGAATCGCAGCTTCACTTACAAATTATAAGCTTCGAGAGAAATAAAGTATCAGGGGGCCTCTAAATAAGTGGAGCAATTCATAAAGAAGATGCAAATAATCAAGTCAAACGGAAAGGTGTGAGAACAAACAGGAGTAAGATTGTTATTCCACGGGCTATTTCCTCTCTTTTCATTTCTTTTTCTTTTTTGGGGAGTGGGGGTAAGTGTCAGAGTGTAGAAATGGTACAATGTCAACATACTTTGAAAAATAAACACCAAAATCAGAAGATCAGTGTCTCTATTCCATAGACTGAGACAAATGCTTGGAAAAATAAATCAAATTTGGTATGCACAAAGACAATAATCATGATTTAAACTAACCTGATGTCGATGGCAATATCTTCAGAAGGAGAAAGCGGTGGTGGAGCAGTATAGCCAGGTTGATAAGACTGCAGGTTACAGAGTTTTCCAAGTCAGCATATAACTTTGTCTGAAACAAGTGAGCCTGAACTAGAAACTCCTTCAGCACATATTCACGAACATTCAGTTTTGTGATTCTAAACAATGTTGTCAAAGGCTCATTTAAGGCGCTCTTAAGCCCCCAAGCTCAGAAAAGCTCAGGGAGGGTGCTTCACCTTGCTTAAGCTGTGCTTTACTGTGGGCAAGGCACTAAAGAGTGCCTCATTGCCCATGAATTCTACCTTGAATCAAGCGGTACTAAACAATAAATATAATAGGCAAAGAATATATTAATCGCTAAGGACAATATCATGTATGAAGTTGTTAATTTTTTCTTGCATTACCTATATATATTTACTTTTTTCTTGCATTACATATATATTTTTTACTTTTTTTTATTCATTGCACCTTTTTGTTACTAAAGCCCACACTTAAATTGCGCTAAAAGCCCCAATTGACATGGATCACTTTTTAAAGCTTTTCGCCTTTGACAACGCTGATTCTAAAGTCCCAATTACTTAAATTTCTGAAGGGAAAATGATCATTGAATTATGGCATAAGGTGAGCTATATTTCTCCAATCAAATAAACTGAATATGCAAAACCGTGCTATTTCTTAACACCCCCCCCCCCCCNGAAAAAAAAGAATAATTAGAATCAAATAAGGTCCATACACATATAAAAGATCTTTTGTCATGAAGTTGCAACACAACCGGACAAAACATGACCATCAATGATTCAAAGGCTTTGGAATCTTAGCAAATTCTAGAGAAGTTATAAGAACTAAGGAAAAGTTTGAAAGAAACACTGAAGACCGGTCAAAGGAAAAACACGTAGCCAGAATAAAAGACGTGAACAATAAGAAAACTGTTAAATTTTAAATCACGACAATCTCAAGTTCTTGCCATTCAGGCTTAGGAAAAATGAAGATGACACTATAAATATACATTTATTACATGCAAAAGCAGCATCAAGATCAATGCTTAGTAGCTAGTCAAACCAGTGCCCAAAAATACTTCACAAACATACCTTTAAGCTGCCATTGCAGCCACAAGGAATCTCCAAATTCTTAGTGCTATCTTCTTCCTGGCAAATTCGGCATTCCACAGTCTGAAGTAATGGCTCATCTTCACCTCCAGCTTCTAGTTCTTCATCCTCCTTATTAATAGTACCATAAGGTGATTGACCTACTGTGTGCGAGCAAGAACTTCCAGCAGAGGATCCTGCATCCTCTGACCCTTGCAACGAGTGCAAAGATTCAGGTGTGATAAGGCGATCAACACATAGAGCCAAGTGTTCTCCCATTAGCAGTTGACTCACGTATCTTTAAAATGAACAAATATGGTCAGCCAGCTTAACTAACAAGAGAAGAAAGGAAAAATTATTAAAGTCACAAAACACAAATGTCAGTCCAATCATCATATATAAGAGCAACTAGCCTTATTGGTTTTCTTCATCTTTTGGATAGCTCTAGTGACTTTTATTACGAGCCAGGATTTAGAGCTTATGCGTTTGGGATTCTAATCCTTTTAAGTTACTGGGTTTTAAATTAATAATTTATATAAATTAAATGAATTTTTTAAGACAAATAAAGGGTTTGGATCAAAGTTACTAGGTTTGGCCGAACCCGTCACCAAATCACTGGCTCCGCCCCCGGTTAAACTTCATATGGCTAAGTCCAAAATTTTAACCACTTTCTGGCCATAATAACAGAAGTCTTACAACTCAGTAAAAGAAACTATCAAAAGACAAGAGAAACAGTTCTTAAAAATCCTATGATATACTTCCCTCCTAGTTTCTCCTCACAATGTTAAGCCTCTTGTCCATTGGTACAAAGACCCAAATGCTACATTACTTGACAGAGAAACTGGATATTGAAGTTTGAATTGTCAACAAACAGAATTTCCAAACCCAATAAAAGCAAAAGTACAATCAAGAGGTATGGCCTTAGTAGTAAGATCAACTGTGAACTAACTACTAATCTTTTCTTTGATTTTGCTTCTTTTTTTTTTTCTTTTTTTTTAGGATAGGTATCAAGATAGGAAAGGCAAAGATCAGGAATTTTTTTCAAGTAGAGTTGAGCTCTTCTACACAAAAGTGGAGGCTTTCTGCTAAACTGAGACCATATACCCAAAAAAAGAACTACCCTTTAATTGGAAATACTGAAGCAAAATGCGTTTGATAAATTTCTGATTCCTGCCTTTCCAATTTTTCTCTTACCATATACAGGGTAAAATTTTCTAAAACGGAACCAAGTTTGAAAATTACCAACTTTGAAGATTTAAACAAAAGCAACAAATTCTATTTCAATAATTGCATTATAAAAGAAGCCAGAAACCAGAAAACCTAACCAAATTGACTCAGCGTAATGAAAAATCTTAAACAAAAAAAACAAAAACAAAAATATAAGGAAAACAAAACAGAGGAAACAATAGAATTTTGAGGTACCTGAAAATGCAATTCTTGACGGATTTTGGTTGTCGGAGAGAAGCTAATGAATATGTATGAGTATTTTCTTCTGATACAAGAAATAGTCGTTTTTGGTTTTGGGCTTTGCTTGCAAATTGGATTTCAATATGAAAATAATGTATAAAAGTCTTCTCTGGAAAATATTGATTTTATTTATAAGTAGATATTAATGGACAAAGTCATCATTTTTGCGGGACCGCTAAAACTGCAACGACATCGTTTATGGACGTCCCAATTCCAAATTATGGCTCCTTTATTTAGTAGCCGGCATCCAAGTCGTCTTGTTTGCACATAAATTCTTTTACCTTTTTTAAAAAAGATTAAAAATAGTTTTTTATGAAACTTGATTAGTTTTTTAAAAAAAAAAAAAAAATTCAAGTTCCACAAACTTGTTTGAACCATTTTCCAAAAATTAACTTTCAACACAACTTTAAAAAAAAATCAAGTTTCAAGTAAATCTATGTGCAAACACCAACTAACTCAGTAATTTTTTGCATTTTGCATATAAATTGTTATTGATTGACAAATATTAAGTGAATGTATTCTTATTTTTAATATGCAACATTTAGAACAGAATTTGTGAGTTAAAATAAATAATGTGTGAGAGTGCAACTAAATAGTAAAAACTTAGTGAACACGCACCGTCTGGATGGATTCCTTCCAAGAAGCAGCGCACTACCAACACAAGAAGCTCTCTGAGAAATTTGGTGAGGTCAATTGTTTGACTTTCAACAATTTAACTTTTGCGATTTCTTAGACCAAAATAACGAAATTAATTAACAAAAATTTCCACGCGCAAAGCCACACTATTTGTCCACGTTGGTACGGAAAAGGTTATTAGAAAAACATTAATCAAGGAAAGAAAAAGATGCAAAAGTGTGATTACTTTTCTTTTGAGAGAGAAGATAGGATGTGTTAAAAAGACTTGGTAAAAGAGCTTTGTAAAAGGGGTAGGTCATGATTCAAATGAGTTTTGGTTAGACGAGACAAAGATAATGGACATTCCATTCTCTCATGGTTTCTAGAAGACATGTTGTATAGTAGGTAATATAGGCAGGTAACAAATCAAAACAAATATCTTATATTAGATGAGTACTTTTTCCTGATTTCCACCGTCTCAATCCACTTTGAAAGAATTTGGACCTCTCATGTAATGTTCATTCCGTCCTATTTTATGTGATTTGTTTGATTTTTCACTGAGTTAAAAAAACATTTTATCATCTAAACAAGTCATAAATATTTGCATAACTATAAATCATCTCATTAATAGTAAAATAAGGGTATCAAATATATAAAAATATTATCATTTTGGAACAGACTAAAACGAAAAAGTACATTATATAAATTGTAAGAGAGAAAGTATTATTATTCTATGTTCCATTAAAGTGAATTAATGGTGTAAAACAAATTCATAACTTATAGTCTATTGACTTATTGTATTTTTTGCAAACAGGTTTCCTTATGCATGATTAAGTAATGCATTTATAGGGCAATTCTTTGACGACCAAAAATTTCAAATTCTGTGCAATTTTTTTTTTTTTTTTTTTTGGTTTTTCATTCGGTATTCAATATTCGTATTGGGACCCGACTAAATTCGGATTCGCACTGGGAAGTCTCATATTTGGGAGTAAAGCGCTCTCTGACAAAGACGACTCTATACCCAGGGCTCGATCGATGACTTCTGGTTAAGAATGAAGGAGTACTTACTGTTTGACTCAAAAGATATTAAAACCTTTTTGAACAAATCAGTCAAAGATGAAAGGGTAAATCTTAGTCAAACTTAATTGATTCCAGATCGAAAGATTTAGTAGTAATAATTACATATGGGACGAATGAACTATCAACAATCTTATTAAGATTCGATACTGCCTTCTTCATCGATGGATGAGGAAGGAGGATTACAATTGTTTTTCCTCTTAGGATACAAGAATGGAGCTTTTGTTCTTATTTTTCTTGTGAGAAAGATGGAGAATCCNCCTGGTCGTAGTGGTCAGATTTTGACCAATACAGTTAGTCCCTCCGTCCATCTGGGTCGTCATTTGTCGGGCTCGACGGATGGATCATGTTTGCAGCGTAGTCGAGAGGAATCTGACCCCCAACTTTCCGTTCCTTAGTTGTGTTCTGTGGATTTTTGGCGGGGTGGAGGTGTTCTTTCGGCACTCATGGACTGTTGAGATAGTTTCAGAATCGAAATGCCGGTTTGGCAAATGAAGCGTTGGTTCGTGTATGCCACCATTACGACACACGTTCCTGGGGAACTGAAACGTTTCGTGCCCCATCAAATTCAAATGGTGACTATTAGGTTTCGTGCTTGGAGAATTTATGTCTCTTATAAATAGGGGAACTTTGTCATTTGATTGATTCGCTTCATCATCCGTTTGAGAGAGTTCTTCAGATATCGCTTTTTCAGATATATCTCGAATTTTTGCTTTCCTTCCTGCTCATTGAAACCCATTCGTTCTTTCTTTGTATTACTTTTCTTTGGAGAGTTTTCTTCTAAAAAATGGTCGGTGGTTCTTCTCGTATGATCTCCCTGTTGCCAATCC